CTAAGGGGGTGCCCCCCAGAGATCCTGTACACAAAGAGAAACCCACTTCAAGATCTGGGACTAGAATTCCCATTCATAAGGAGGCCCCCAAAGTCCCAAATCAAAGTCTGCATTTAATGTGGTTACAAAACAGAACTTCTCTAGATTAAATTCAGGCCCCAGAGGAATATCATAGAATGTACCTTCATAGTAATAATAAAACAATCTCACTAAAGGCCTGAAGAGAGCCAAGAGCTTCTGCGGGAACACGCCTACCTACAAAGAAGCTAAGTTCTGGACATAAAGCTATTTTACAACATTTCTGGTCTCTGGGACAGCTCCTGCCAGCTCCATCTCCTAAGCTGAGTCATTGTCAGAGGGCTCCGACCTACAGGCTGTGCACGGATCACCCAGAAGGCAAACGCCAATGTTAGCTTTGCAGACCAGGACCCGGGCTCTGGACAGTGTTAATGTTCAAGGCTCTACACCCAAGATGCCTATCTTGAGACAGGCTAGCACTAGGGATCTCTGTGGGCTCAGAGCAGCAGCGCCCCCTGGCAGCAGGCTGGGGCAACTACGAGTGTGCTAAGAAGGAAAGCACCTCTCTCTTTCACATCTGCTTGGATACCAACACGTACAGGCTCAGATCTGCAAGCACACAGCTGTAATATCGCACAACCAAAACTACATCCTAAGCTTGGTATGTGCTCAGAGAGACACGGTGGACTACCCACACATGGACTCCTGTGGAGATAAATGTGGTCTATGTGGGATTATGGGAAAATGTTACATACACACTAAGTCAAAGAAGCCCGTTGTTTATGATCCAACCACGCTGCATTCTACAGAAAGTTGAACTACAGAGTCTCTGGGAATTCCACTGGGAGAGGGGGATGGGTGAAGGGCCGGACTGCTGGGCAGTAGATCTCCTCTGCGGATGGGAGTGACATCACCTATTGTTACAGAACCAGGCACACAAAGTGCTGCGGAGACAGCCGATCGTCAACCAAGCAAGGCAGGAAGTCTAGGAGAACCCTGTGCCATCCGTGTGGACTTCCTCTCTAAACCCAAAGCTGTTCTGAAAATACAGTCTCTAAAGAAAATGTAAGAAGTAATGAAGTAGTATTCCTAAGACATTTCCAGATGGGGCTGGAGAGATGGCTCAGCTCTCGTTACCCTTGAGGAGGACCTGGTTTCAGTTCCCAGCGCCCACATGGCAGCTCACAACCTCCTGTTCCTCCAGTTCCAGGGGATCTGACACCGTCTTCTGGTGCCACGGACACCAGGCACACATGTACACAGACACACAGGTAGGCAGAAGACACCTATGCATAAAAAAACGAATCTTAAAAAAATAAAAATTTTAAGAATCAGAAAAGGAACTCCCAACTACCTCACAGTCTAGAAGAAGTTCACACAGAATACCAAGTAGGTGTGAATCTGGAAACTTAGAAAACAATAACATCTGATGAAAACCATCAAACAAGTATGAAAAAAATCAATTTTCAGTCATGGAAAAGGATGGTTGTAATGGCTGAAGTTAAATCTCCATCTGGTATGTGTGTGAAAACAGACATGCAGGAGTTTAGATCAATTATTCAGTGTTTACTGCAAAGCAGCAGGTTTGAGAAAGCCGAAACAAAAACCAACAGATACACATTTACATTGACCTTTCAGCAATATACCCATGGCATCTCCCTCTCTCTCTCTCTCTCTCTCTCTCTCTCTCTCTCTCTCTCTCACACACACACACACACACACACGCTCACAGACACACACACATGGAAACAAATATTAAAAAATAAAGTTGGAGACTTAGTGCTCGCTCTTTCTGGTATCTAACACAGCTTACTATTCACATTGTTTGTTGCTCAAGGTCACTGAGGTCATGCTAACTGACTGTCCACTGGGTCACGCTGACTGACTGCCCTCTGAGGCCATGCTGACTGACTGTCCACTGAGGCCACACTGACTGACTATCCACTGAGGTCACACAGACTGACTGTCCACTGAGGCCGCGCTGACTGTCCACTGAGGCCACGCTGACTGACTGTCCACTGAGGCCACGCTGGCTGACTGTCCACTGAGGCCACGCTGGCTGACTGTCCACTGAGGCCATGGCTGTTCACTGTGGCAGTGGTAGCTGACTATCTGATAAACTTTCTGTTTCTGTGGTAAACGTCATGACTAAAAGCACCCAGGGGAGGAAAGGGTTTACTTAATAATATATGCCACAGGCCATCATAAAAGGAAGCCAAGGTGGGAACTAAAGGCTGGAGCTTGGATACAGGAAACGAGGCCAAGTCCATGGAGGAATGCTGCTTACTGGCTTGCTCTCATGGCTCACTCAGCTTGCTCTTCCATAAAACTCAGGACAACCAACCAGGGGTAAACCTGCCCACTATGGGCTGGGCCCTCCAGCATTAATCCTTGATGAAGAAATGTCTGTAGCTACAAACTTTCCTTCTGGTGGCCAACCTGATGGAGGTGTTTTCTCAGTTGAAGGTCCCTATTCCCCCATGACCCAAGCGTGTGTCAAAGTGACACGGAAAACCCTAACCAGCACCCCAACACAAACACCCCTTCAAGATTTTGCTTGCTGACACCTTACAGTATGCTGTACTGTCCGTGTTGTAGATGATAGAAATAAGTCTTAGAAAATCAAAGCAGTACATCTGAGCTGCACATATGCCGAGCAGCAGACCTTGGGTGTCTGGTTCCAACCCTCCCATGCCCGCTACCGACCGCCTCTGCATTGTCACCTCTACTCCAGTTATTAACTCGGGCCGTCTCCCTTCCTACCCGCTTAGCTCTGCCTGCAGCCAACGCTGGACTCCCCTGCAGTGACAATTTGAAATCCAGTCCAGCCCGTGCCAGCCAGATAAGCTCAGGTGCCACTTAGATGCTAGGAGGAAACTACAAGCGTCTCCCAGGAGTTGTCGGAGCCAACAGGAAATTTCCAGCAGACATGACTGCTCCCTCTGAGCTTCGGAACCACTGCCATATCCCACGCTATCAAAGAGCAAGTCCACGGGGTGGCCATGGCCGCAGACATGGCCACGACATTCAGCACTGTGATCATTTGACCTCTAGGTCAACAGTCAGTGACAGCCTCCAACTCTACATTTTCCAAATATTTAATTCCTCATATTAAACCACTTCTAATCAGAATACCTAAAATAATTTCCATCTCTTAAATCAATAAATATGGAATTCAGCAAATGAGGAAGCTTCCCTACTCACTCTCTAAATCCCTGGAAAACTAAAGTCTTATACCATAAGGTATACAGTAATGTCTTATCCCATAAGCTATACGGTAATGTCTTATCCCATAAGCTATACGGTAATGTCTTATCCCATAAGCTATACAGTTATGTCTTATACCATAAGGTATACAGTAATGCCTTATACCATAAGCTATACGGTTTCATCCCGAGAACAGATGCTATTAATCTGAATGTTCTTCTTCCTTTTCACACGCATGAGAACGCCTGAGAAGCCCCATACCATGGCAGAAGGCTCTTCTCCACCTTTCCTCTGTGAAAAGTGAAAGCCAGGGACTCACAGCCTCCCTGTCACCTTTCATCGGCTTCTTTTTTTAAATAATTTATTTTTATGTGCATTGGCATTTTGCCTGCATGTCAAGCTGTGTGAGGGTGTCAGATCTTGGAGTTACAGATAGTTGCAAGCTGCCATGTGGGTGCTGGGAATGGAACCTGGGTCCTTTGGAAGGACAGGCAGTGTTGCAGCTGCTGAGCCATCCTCCAGATCCCTCATCTGAACTGTTACAAGACATTTCTTTTGTGTAGTGTTCATCAAGAACACCGTGAACTAAGGTTAGGGCTGTGGAACCCAGGGATTGAACCCAGATTCACAGACTTGGTGTCAAGACGCTCTATCTGCTGAGCCATCTCTCCAGCCCAGCTAAAGACCTCTACTGAAATAACTCAAATAGATATGTTTAAGTCAGATGAGAAAAAAACAGTAAAGTTCCAAGAACACATATAAAATATGACTTTTCAAAAAGCAGGGGTATTATAATCTATGAAAGCATAGCAACTTGCTACTATTATGTCAGAAAGTACAAACTTACAGAAGCTGGATCTTATCATTCAGATGTTGGCTAGGTCCTAGATCCACAGCCTGAGGGGCTCTGGGTTTTTCAAGCTTTAGTTTATTGGACTTAAAAAGCCATCCCTCAAGTTCTTTGTGACATTGAAAAGGAGACTACACAAAAACATCTGCTATTTGGCGTGGACAAGGGAAGCACTAAACAAATGCCGTTTTCCTCACTTCAAAAGCGAGTTATGGAAGAGTTTATGCCCCACCTCGGGCCCTAACTGATCACTTTTTTAAAGTAAATTTTTTTATGGACTAGGAAGTCTATATTCCACAACACGTTTAAAAATATAGGAAAACTCTGTGAAGGATAAAGAGAGGAATTAGAAATAACCCACCATCCTGAGACCTGAGGTGGGAGGCCACAGCTTCTGCTCCGCCTCGCAACTCCTCAGCATTTTTAATATTTAATATTTAATATTCATATTTAATTGCCATTTTCTGTGCCATCATCCTACAACCCGAAGTGCTCTAAGTATCCCAGAGCTGCACCGGGTGAGCCTCCCCATGCCCCTACATTCCTGAACATTAAAAACACCCAAGTGGACCACTAGGCAGGCTCTCCAGGACTACCAATTACGATGTTGGTGGTAATTAGCTTTCAGATAAGCATTACCGATAAAACTTTTAGTTTTTTTTTTTTTTTTTAAAAAACACGGGGGCTGGATCCCTGGTTTAACAGGCAAGGGCGGCAGCTGCTCTTCCAGAGGACCCAGGTTTGGTTCCTACCACCCATGTGGGTGGCTCAGAAAACCTCTGTATCCTCAGTGCCAGGGGGTATGGTGCCCATTCTGGCCTGAATGGGCACCACAGGCATGGTGCACAGGCATGTGTGTAGGCAAAACACTCATATACATCTATTAAAAACAATTTTCTTCCTAAAGGTGATCTTGGACACAAACCTCATTGGTCTCTTCGCCTCCTTTGGCCTGTCCTTCCCCAAGCTCTCCATTCTCGTAGCTGCTGCTCTTCTCAACCCACAGCTCGGACTTTTCCACCGTCAGCCGCAGTTGGTCGAGATCTGCCTTAATTTGCTTGTAGTTGTCAACATCTTGGTTCGACACCAGCAACTGCACCTGAACACAGAAGGGTTTAAAACTCTTAAAACTCTTCCGCAGCTTTCTGTATCCCTAGTTCCGGTACACCTAAAACCCCAACTTTAAACATTCACTAGCTGAAGTTCGACATTTGCCGAACACTTAGGGATATTCATCTCATGAACTCCAGCCAACATATTCTCATGTGAGAAGGAATTCTTAGATGTGCACTCTCAGAAAGCTTTCAAAACTTCTGGTAAGTAATTCAACATAAAAGTTTAGGGGGTTGGAGAAATGGCCCAGAGATTAAGAGCACTTGCTGCTCTTGCAGAGGACCTAAATTCAGCTCCCAGAATCTACATGGTAGCTCACAACCTCCTGTAACTCTAGTTCCCAGAGATCTGACATCCTCTTCTGGCCTCTGCAGGTACTGCACACATAAGATGCATGTAGTCACATGAGTGCAAATACCCAAATAAATAAATCAAAAGTAAGCAAATCTTTTACAAGATAATTTCTAACTTCATGGTTAGAGTTCATCTTTCTGAGGTTTTCTATACATGTATGTTTAAAAATCAAAACATAAAACCCCATGTAAGAAAATATTACTGCTATGATATATATTTGCTAGTATAAACAGCAGTTTCATAGCTTGAGAGAAGCATACAATTTACAATTTTTTTATCTTTTATTTATTTATTTATTTATTAAAGATTTCTGTCTCTTCCCCCAGCCGCCTCCCCTTTCCCTCCCCCTCCCCCAATCAAGTCCCCCTCCCTAGTCAGCCCAAAGAGCAATCAGGGTTCCCTGCCCTGTGGGAAGTCCGAGGACCACCCACCTCCATCCAGGTCTAGTAAGGTGAGCATCAAACTGCCTAGGCTCCCACAAAACCAATAGGTGCAGTAGGATCAAAAACCTATTGCCATTGTTCTTGAGGTCTCAGTAGTCCTCATTGTCCGCTATGTTCAGCAAGACCGGTTTTAACCCAGGCTTTCTACATGGCACATACATATAAAACATGTGCATCTAAATGGTTACTATTTGACTCTTTCATATCGGTTAGCACCTTTCCACAAAGCTTCCTAATACAGGCCCAGACTCCATTGAACACAAAATAACAGTGAGATACCAAACATGCAAGTAATCACTGAAAGATTAACATGAAATCCAAACATCGTGGAGGACAAGAATGATCCCATCACAGGAGAGAGTGGATCCCGTCACAGGACAGAGTGGATCCCATCACAGGACAGGGTGGATCCCATCACAGGACAGAGTGGATCCCATCACAGGACAGGATGTATCCCATCACAGGACAGAGTGGATCCCATCACAGGGGATAGGATGGATCCCAGCACAGGACAGGGTGGATCCCAGCACAGGGGATAGGATGGACCCCATCACAGGGGATAGGATGGATCCCAGCACAGGATAGGATGGATCCCAGCACAGGACAGGGTGGATCCCAGCACGGGACAGGGTGGATCCCAGCACGGGACAGGGTGGATCCCCATCATAGATCCATCATCACATTCTGTAGCCAGAATAACAGCAGTGACAACAAACTCCTCACAGGCTACTGTTTCCCAGCGCCTCCTCAGTTTAAACTGAGTCTGTCGTTTTTATAAAGATCACTTGTGGGAGACTCACTCTAAAGCAGGTCCCGGGTAGACACAGACAAGACCTCAAATATCTTTCAAAACAAAAAGTAGCAAACTAGGTATTACAGTGCATACCTGCACTACACTAGCACTGGAGAGGCAGAGGCGGTGGTGGGCGGGGGAGCGGCTGCCACGAGTTCATAATCAATCTGAGCAACACACTGAATTCTGGACCAGCCTGTGCTACTGAGGGAGATCCTGTCTCAAAAACTAGGAATAAGGTCCAAGGAACACAGCCTCATCTGCAGCCACCATCAGACTGGGATTACAAACACTTTCAGAACTCCACGGCCCTTGACTTTAGGTGTTCATTTTCTTGCACACAAAGCTGAGGACTGAGCGCAGAGCCCCTGTGTGCAGGGCAAGCAGGCCCCACCCCAGCTCACCTGTTTAAAGGCCTGCAGCACTTCCGCTCTCTGACTGAAGTGCTTGAAGAGCAGCTGCAGGGCTCCCGACAGCAGCGGAGGGTAGTCGTGCATGATCAGGTGGATGAGGACCCGCAGGAACGTCCTGCCTCCCTCATCATCAAGCTGGACTGGGGTCTTCTCCTTTCTGTAAAACAACAAGAAATTCTAAAATAACACATCACATGATATATGTGTGTGTGTTATTTAAATTATATCTGTTTTTTAAACTTAAACCCCTGTTTTCCCAAAATAAGAAAAGAAGAGGAGGACATTGTTACTTCCTGATCTTATATAACTGATGTGGGAGCAATGACAAAGATGGCTCCTCAGCCAATCTCAAGAGTTAGTCACCAACACACTTGAAGAACAAGCATTGAGTGATCCCTAAATCACTCTTCATTAGTTGTTATTTAGCATATAAAATAATGGGTTTCATTATGACCTTTCCATACACAGCTCATTGTTAGTTCAAATTTCCCACCGTCCTTTGTCCTCCTTGCCCCTCCACTCGTCTCCTCCCCGTTCCGAGAAAGTATTTATTGATGATGTTGACCAACAGCCCAGAACCCAAGTGATCACCACATGGCAAGTGGGGAGGGACAGTCACAGACACACAGCCCTCACTTTCTTCTAGCAGGGACTCTTCAAACTGACGTGAAATATCTGATTTCTCATGCATAAGTTAAGGCCAGCATCAAAAGACACTACTTTCTTGCCCCAGCTAGGAATCTGGGATGCAGTGTGTTACGAGATACCACAATGTTTCTACCCCAGGGGCTAACGGGTATCTGTACGCTGCCATCATCTAAGGAAAGAAAAGCTAAGACTTCTGAGAAAGTTAAATATGTGGATCTCCTTTCTCCCTTTTTTCTTTCGAGACAGCGTTTCTCTGTGTATCTCTGGCTGTCCTGGAATTCACACTGTAGACCAGGCTGGCCTTGAACTCACAGAGATCCACCTGCCTCTGCTGAGTGCTGGGATTAAAGTTGTGCGCCACTACTGCTGGGCCTCCCATTTTTTTAAGGTGACTTAAGGGTCATGCTCTTTCCTCTAAAGTAAATTCCACGCCTCGTTCCTGGCAGAAATTATGCTAGCATCAATTGGGGTATCGAAACATGCAAAAAGACGAATGGTAACAAACTATGGATCAAATTCTAGGTAACACATATTCACATGTAAGACAAAGACTCATCACGTACCTTCCGGCAAACATCGTTTCTGCCTGAGCCGCAATCTCGTCGATGTCGGGAACGATCGCTGTGGAGACACACAGGGAAAGTCTTCATTTGGTTTTAATTCATGCTCATATCCACTTACTTGAAGATATTTTTATTTTAACACTTTTTGTGACGCTGAATGTTAATAGTTCAGAAAATTTCAATATAGTTTCCACCTCGTCAGCGCGATGGTCCTTTGTCAACTTGACCCAGTGCAGAATCACCCAGGAAGACATATTGGGTTAACATAGGGGTATGTCGGGGGGGGAGGGGGCTGTCTTGATTACTAATGTTCAGTGATGTGGGAAGATCCAGCCCTTTATGGGCGGCATCATTCCCTAGGTCCTGAATTATACAGAGGTCAAAATGAGCGCAAGCAAGCGAGCATGTGTACACTCTTCTCTCTCATCCTGGGTGTGAACGTGATTCTCCCAAGGGCATGTTCTGTGAGTTCCCTGCCACAATGAACCATAACCTGGAAATACAGACCGAAACAAACCCATTTCTCCCCTAAGTTGCTTTTTACTGGAGTGTTTTATCACAGCAGCAGAAACAAAACTGGAACAAACTGGAACTTGCTAACATGTGGAAGTTTCTGCACGCGTTATGTGTGTATTTAGACACAAATGTGCCATCTCCCTCTTTAACACTTTAATATAAGATGCACTTATATTACTTGTACTATGTTTATATGGCTGCCATCAAATGTGTTAAAAGATCAGCAGGCATCTTTACAAAGGTGTTCTTACTTATAAGTGTGTGCACATGTGCACTTGATATGTCAAATACATATGTGTATCCCTACATAAAAACACACACACATTGCAATAGTGATGGCATAGAAGAGCAGTTTTTCCTTCTTTATTTTTATTTCATGTCTGTGCACCACCCGTGTGCAGTATCCACAGAGGCTAGGGAGAGCGTCAGATGCCCTGGGACTAGAGTTACGAACTGTTGTGAGCCACCATGAGGGTGTTGGGAATCTCACCAGATTCCTTCAGGATCAGCCAGTGCTCTTAATGGCTGAGCCATCTCTCCAGACCCAAGGGGAAAACGCTTTTTTAAAAAAGAATTAGAAACCATGTAAAGAGCCACGTCACTGTGGTCCCCATCAATGTGACCTTTCTACATTTGAGATTCCTTCTCTTTTTCTTGCAGAATGGAGCCATTTCTCATGTGACCCAACCATGAGTCCTACCATGTCCTGCCGCCACCATTTTGAAGATACTTTTACTAAGACATCAAGTTCAAATGATAAATAGATAACATACTTCATCTCTAAAGCATGACAAGAAAGATATGAAACAGAGGGGAAAATCCTATTCTTTCCAGGAAGGTGTGTGTGAGAGAGAGAGAGAGAGAGAGAGAGAGAGAGAGAGAGAGAGAGAGAGAGAGAGAGAGAGAGAGAGAGGAGAACGACTCCAGCAGAGAGGGCATTTTCTGCAGCCTTTAACCTTCGCTTGGGTACTCAGAGCTCACGGTTCCAGAAGTCTGGCTTCTGGGAGTCAATAACTGTTATGTTTCTGTCAATGCAGCCGCCAGCATGACTTTCTGGTTCTGCCTGATCGTTCCTGGAAACAGCCCTTTGGGGTACGGCACTTCTGAGAAGCTGCAGTGCTGCAGGGGTGCCAGGAGCGGCTCCTCGCCCGCCCGGGCAGATGTGGCTGCTGTCTGCAGGGAAGGTTGCCTGCAGGTCAGAGGTGGGGGTGGGGCAGCTGGTCTTGTCCCATCCTCATTACTGTGAACTGTTCTTGTCCCGCTGATTGATGGCTACAGGAGGAAGCGGCTCCTAACACTGTCCAGAGGCTTCCTATCTACACAACTGCTGGCCTCAGAAGAGCTTTGCTAACTGACCGTCTGCATCCTAAGATGTAGTTTATAGTCAACCAGGACCGACCTGGCCCAACCCGTAAAAAGGTGAGTTAATAATTCTTAGTCTTCAGAAAGTCCTGTCTACGGCCTCGAAATTTTACAGCCATTTTTATGCTCTTTCAGGTTATGTTCCAAGTCTCAGAAACACTCTAATTTTTAAGACAGGATTCCAAAGCAAGACACAAAGCTCCGGTAGCACACAGGCGAGCCCTCGGGGAGCTCTCCTCTTGTTCTCTGGCTAAGCGTGGCTTCCCCACAAACACTGCCCTTCTCAGCTGCAAGCCCTTCATGCTGCCCTTTGATCCAGGCGTGGACACTGTTCTCAGATTTCCACCAGAAGAACACACTGTGCAGAAGGTTTAGACTGCAGCTGAAGCAGTCTCAAGGTTCGGGGCTTTGAGGACTGCGGTAGCCCTCACTGTCAACCTGCCTGAATTTAGAATCACCATGGAAACACACCCCTGGCTGTGTCTGTGAGGACAATTCCAGGAAGGTTTCACTGAGGTGGGAAGATTCCCCAGAAAGTGGGGGGCACCACCCCTACAGGCTGGGGTCCTGTTCTAGAAGGGAGAAGGTGAGTGAGCACCAGGGGTCACCTTTCCCTGTTTCCTGACTGGAGACTTGTGAACAGTCAGCTCACGCCCCACCCCTTGCTGCCCCTCCCATACTGAAGTGCATCTAGGGACAGGCATGAGCCAGACACAGTGCCAAATACAGGACCTCAACCTATCACTGTGGGCGCAGTGTCGGGACAGGCATGAGCCAGACACAGTGCCAATACGGCAAATTCTTCCATCCTTCCACCGCTCTGTTTCAATTTCAACTGGTAGAGATTGCCATCTTCTGACAAAGAGATACTTTTTTTTTTTTTTGGTTTTTCAAAACAGGGTTTCTCTGTGTATCTCGGGCTGTACTGAAACTTACTCTGTAAACCAAGCTGACCGCGAACTCACAGAGATCCGCCTGCCTCTGCCTCACGAGTGCTGGGACTAAAGGCATGCACCACCACTGCCCGGATAGGTATTTTTTTAAAGATATAAATGAAAGGGGTCTTTTTGGCAATCCATTATTTTGTAAGCTTATTAAATACAAACACACACACACATATATACACACACAAAACATACATATACATGTGTATATATACACATGCATCTATATATATGTGTGTGTGCATACACAGATTTATATATACATGTATACACACATACATATGCACACATGCCTACATACACAGTGCATATATGCATATATATAAGCATACACACATATATATACCACACATATGCACACACATATACACACATGCATACATATGCATACACACAAGTATGTATACATAAATGTACATATACATATGCATATGTATACAGACAACACACATGTACACATGTATACAAATATATGTACACACATGTGCACACATGGAATTTGAATAGAAGTTCCTTGTATGGGTAAACAGTGCTACTTCTAGAAAGTACAGGTTATTAAATTACGATCTCAGTACAAGGCACAGAATACCTTCCTGTGAGTTACTGATCCATCAGAGAGGCCCCAGGGGTATCCTGAACAACACAGGCTATGGTCTATTCTTGGTTGCCCCCAAAACTGCCCCCAATTTCTGAACACACCATTCTCTTTGATTTCAAGACAGAGAAACCAACCTCAACATAACAGGGAGCTCTCCTTCTGGATAGCTTACAGAGAGCCAAAACAGAAAGTTTCCGGTGGCATCTTTCTCCTTTGGCAGCTACATGGCATCTCTCTGTCTCCATCTACTCTCTCTATATCTCTGTTCAGATTTTCTCCTTGGCTTTACTCTGAAAAGCCACTGACTGAAACATCTTTATTTATTAGCCAATAAAAGCAACACATATGCAGAAGGACATCCCAAGCGGTTGTCAATAACAATAAAAACAAGGAAATGAACTGGAGAGAGAGGCAAGGTGTGGGGAAGGGGCTGGAGGGAAACAATGCTGGATGGGTACAATCAAAATGACTTGTATAAACACACAAAATTTCCAAGGAATAAAATGTATTATTTAAGATCCATCTAAAAGAAATACAGAATGCAAGTGATAAGCACTGTCCCCAAGGTACCTGACGGCAGGAGAGTGTCTGGGGAGTTGTTGGCAGAGGCGTCACCATTGTCATTGTTCTCCCCAAACTCCTTCTTGTATATGGAGAGCATGTATGAGATCCGGTAATCCAGTCTGACGCTCAGGATGAACTGGAAGAAGCAACACAGTACACTTAGTTGTGCCATTCTAAGATGGCACAGCACTAACACACAAGTCATGGGCTGGGGAAATGGCTCCGTGGGTAAAGCCCTTGCCAAGAAAGCCCAGGAACCCAGGTTCCACCCCCAGAACTCATGTAAAGGTGGAAGGAAGGAACGAAGTGAACGTGTGGTTCATGTGCCCTCATACACACATAATGGATGTTTAATACAAACCATGACACACACCAACCACATTGCTACCAGTCTTCCAAACGAACCAATCAGAGGCCTTACTAGTAAACTATAAACTCTTGCTTGTTTACCTGTTTTGTCAGCCTTAAGATGAAAGAAAGGGATATGTTTTCATTGGTCAGAATTAATGAAAGCCCACAGCAATTAATTAATCAATTTGTGATTATTTTCCTTTGTTTGTTTGATTGGTTGGCTGGTTGGCTGGCTGGCTGGCTAGTTGGTTGGCTGGTTGGTTGGTTGCCTGGTTGGTTGGTTAGTTGATTTTGAGACAGGGTATCCTGTAGCCCAGGTTGGCCTCAAACTCCCTATGTAGCAGAGGATATCCTTGAACCCCTGTTCCTCCTCCCAAGAGCTTGGAACGCAGGTGTGTGCCACCACACCCTGTCTACACTGAGTTTCAGAAACAAGGACATCTGGCATCCCACAATATTCTCTGAATATTCCAGGTAGGGGCGCCTTGTGGGTCTGAGGTGATGCTGATATGATCCCAGACACACTGCAGTTTCCTGCGCCGAGAGGAAAATCCTGGAGCTGCTTTTGTGCATAGAAAGGCTCGGGCTTCAACTGCAGTGGAGCTGTCCAGCCCCGCTGACGAGCAGGGCTGAGCCATGGGATCAGAGAAGGCCACAGGAGGGGTGCGCCTGGGAACTGGTCTGTGATAAGCCCGACCTTCTGAGCACAGCTATTACCAGTGTCCTGTGGTCTCTAAGGGCCTCCTTGGTGAACAGCAAACACTATGGTTGCCCAGGCTTTATAGAAAAGCTGGCTTCTGTGTCCTCAGGAGCCCTCATTTTTTCTGTCTGTTTCCACAGCCCTCCCTTCCCCGGGCTCTGTCCCCTCTCTCCGTGCTCAGACTCCTCTGTCCCACGATCATTGTGTCCCACACAATGTGCTGCTGCTCCCCGTGCTTCTTCAGAGTCCACTGTCCCTCGATTCTCTTCTCTGCCCATGAGAGCAAGGTCTCGGGACACTGAACGTGCACATGGCACTGTTTATGGCTCCACAGGCACTCAGCTCCGCTGGAGCTCACAGAATCTCACTTCGCGGCCTTTCTCCTCTGACGTGTCTAGCTATGAAGATGCAGATACGGTGTGAGATAAAGAAGCTGATGGCAGCAAAGCAGAGAAAAGGCTGGGTGTGGTGGCTCACACCTATAGTCCCGGCATCCTCAGTGATGTGGGAGTGATTTCTTACTAATAAAGAAACTGCCTCGGCCCTCATAGGACAGAAAATTAGGTAGGCGGAGTAGACAGGAGAGAATGCTGGGAAAAAGAAGCTGAGTCAGAGAGGAGTCGCCATGATTCTCCCGCTCCAGACAGACGCAGGTTAAGATCCTCCCTGGTAAGCCAGCTTATGGGCTACACAGAATATTAGAAATGGGTTAGAACAATATGTAAGAGCTAGCCAATAAGAAACTGGAACTAGCCGGGCCAGGCAGTGTTTGAAAGAATACAGTTTCTGTGTAATTATTTCGGGCATAAGCTAGCCATGCGGGCGGCCGGGTGCCGGGGACGCAGCCCTGCCGCTCCTATTTCAACACCTCAGCACTTGGGAAGCTGAGGCAGGGGGATTCCCATGAGTTCAAGAGCAGCCTAAGTTACACAGAGAGCTCTGAGCCAGTCAGGACTTTAGAATGAACCTTGCCTTAAAAAAATAAAAATAAATTTAAAAAAAAATTGTAAAGGCAGAGAGAGTGAGTAAATTCAGAAGGTGGGAATAAAACCATGTTCTTAAATGAGGTCAAGAGGGGAGACAGAGAGCCGGAAGCCGCCAGGGAGTGCAGCCACCAAAGATTTGTTGAAGGGATGTTCTGAGAAGGTGTTAGCAGGAACGGGAAGATCCTGGGTGAGCGGTCAGACAGTGAAAGGGGTTCAGGGAAAACTCGTCAGGTGCTGAGCAGCCACACCGCACCACCTCCCAATGTCTCTGTGCGCGGCACCATCGCTGAAACCAGAGCTGACAACAGGTCACGTGCATCTGTGGAGGTGACCTGGGGCCCCTCCGGTCCCTTTCTCAGCTTCAGGCTAAGAACACTGCATGAATTTTCAAGGCCATGGGGAAGCCTGCCAACATTTCTTAGGACTCAGCCTTTGGGAACTCTGGAGGAACTGGGAAATGTTTTATGATTATAAATCTAATTACTTGGAATGAAAACTGCACAGAGCCTTCCAGGACTGCTGGCCCACTTCTGGTAGCTCCGTCTACATAAGATGACGAAAGATTTGGGAAACTCTGTCCACATTCTTAAGCTACAAGCTCCATCCTCTGCGTCTGGGATAAATGCTATAACAATGGTACCTTACGCCTGCTTCCCAGACTGACCCCAGATGAAGATGCTAGAAATCATAGCGGGGGTCTGGCGTATGGATAACGGAGCTCATTAAATTGATGAAGTTAGACTTGGCTAACTCGGGGTGGGGGTGGGGGGAATCCCCAGCCTCTTAGAAACACAAAGAGGGGTAATTGTGCAAACTAATAATATCAACAATTAACAAGTTTGTTAATAACGATTAGGGAGGCAGTAAAGCAGGGTCTTCCTTTGTTGCCCAGTCTGGCCTTGAACTCACAGAAATCCTCCTGCCTCGGCCTCCTGAGTGCTAGAATTATAGGAGTGTATCAAATATATAGGAAATTTAAACGCGTGGGATTCACTAATATGTTTCAAGCAGTTGAAAAACAGAAAATGATTGCATTTATTTCAATTCATCATAAACATGCCTGCTTTAAAAATATTTCTCAAATGAAGAAAATATCCAATCAAGGTCAATACTAGCTGATAATAAACACCACACAGGAAAGTGATTTTATCACTCTCAGCGCGCTCCACAACTGTAGATATCACTAGTGCATTCCACGGACAAAGAGCAAGGTGAGTGTGCAAAGAAGCATCAGCGCGAAGTTTATTGTCAGCTCTGTTCTTCACTTCAAAATGATAATAAGATGGGGGCAGTAGCTTTTCAGGATAAAATAAGACCAATAGCATTTCAGAACCACATTACACCAATTACACAGTGAAGCCAGATATAGTGCCTAACATCTGGAATCTCAGCAACCAGAAAGCTAAGGCAAGAGGATGACCACAAGTTCCATGTGAGCCTGTACTACAGACACACACACAATATAGACATACTCAGCAACCAGAAAGCTAAGGCTGGAGGATGGCCACAAGTTCCATGTGAGCCTGTACTACACACACACACACACACACACACACACACACACAATATAGACATACACACAGAGACATACATACAACATAGGCACACATACACACACATACACACATGCAACATAGACGCATACACACAGACAGACACACACAGGCACCACACACAGCATCAAGCCACAGGACACACCTGTAAAATCTCGATGACCTTCAGCTTGGTGTCCATCACTGTCACATCCTCCTGCTCGCCGGGGCTCGCCTGCTTGCTGAGGTGGACGCTGGGCTGTGCATCAGGCACGCTCACCGGGAAGATGGAGCCCCTGCTGAGCACCATCTGGGTCATCATCTCTCCCACGCCATGGATGGTCCTCATGACATTGTTGCCTAGCACAAGAAGAGGACCCAGTCAACATGCACAAAACACCGTGGCCGCAGCATCAACACAGCTTATTACTTTTATCATGAGGACCTGGCTGCATTCTTCACAGCCCGGCATGTAACTCACTGCATTCTGGGGATTTCTGTTTTCCTCCATTATTATCAAAGCTAGGGTGTAGCTGTGTGAAGAGAGGTAGGGGTTTCCATGTTACAGAATGGTTTGACAAACCAGGAAAAGAGATGGCTTTCTCTCTAAGATGCAGCAAGTTAATAGTGGGCAAACAAAGACTGTGACCAAATCCCTATTAGCAAATTAATAAGGTTCTCCTTTCTCTTTCTTACAAAATGGTCCAACCCTAAAGTTTAAAATCTAGAGGGAGCAGGGGAGAGAGAACGGCGCCCATCACTCTCCATGAGAGGCTGGACCAGGGGGATGGCTAGGCCAGCCTGGGCAACATAACAAGAGCCTGCTTCAAAAGAAAAGTGGATTAAAAAACCCAAAGAGCACAAGCCTTCTTCGGAAGCTCAGAGAAACCCTAAGTTCACCCTGTGGATTCTCTGACTGTCACTGGCTCTCCTATTGCTTTTAGAAGTGACTTAAGTTAGTGATAGAGAAACAAGACCCCACGTTGCACAGCACCCCCATACTCTGTAAATACCTTGGTGAGGGTCGCCCACAAGGGTTGTTTCAAGGGCTTTAGCTGGTTGTTTTGTTTTGTAAGAGAGACTTGGAGATAGTCTTAACTGATTCAACGCTAACACCAACCTCTTCACGTGTGTTCTGGAAGTCAGCTGTGGAACCTCTGACATCAGCGCAGCAGACCCAGCCAAGGAGTTTCTAGACAGGCCTCCCATGGAGGGCCAGACGCAGGTTTACACATGTGTGGGCCACCAACGCTGTCACTTCCATATGTGGTTTCCCTACATCTCCCACCACCTTCATTTTTTTCTGTTTGGTCCCATAAACACCCTTGAACCACATCCTCAGAGAGAGGGATTGGAGTCTGGCTGTCCAGGGAATGAAGCATCTTCTGCAGAACTCATGGTTTTAGTAGTTACCAACACTGCAGGGTGATGGAAAGGTCCTGGCTGGGTACCAAGAGTGTGCAAACTGTCAGATGCTCTATCCCTCCCTTCGCAGACCAAGGGCTTTGGGGCTTTCATAACACAAAAAAAGAGCTTGGGGTGCAATCAAATTCTCCAATAAGCTTGTGTTCCCTTATCCTCTAGCTAGAAATCCATCACTCAGAACCTAGGAAGAATGATCTTATCTGAGGCCACTACAGAAACAGATGAGAAGCTCAAACATGTCCGCTAAGGAACAGCCGCCTGCCATTCCCTCTGTGTTTGACTTTTCATCGATTTTCTCCACCCACACTGGCACAATTTGCACCCACACCTCCTCGTCAGTCAAGGGAGCGCCCTGGCACTCTCGCAACTTTGGTCCCATCTAGTTTCCTGCACCTCAGTCCTACCACAAGCAACTGGACTCAAACACATGTCAATCTTTCTTTGCAAACAGTGGTCTTGGCTTCTTGGATGTTCATGAAGTTCTGCCTGAAGTAAAGGCTTCGGCATCTGGCAAAGAATGTTCCAGAAATGCAGAGGGTGTAAGCCAAGAGGAGGGGGATAAAAATTAGGTGCAGGGAAACAGAACTCCGAGTGATAAAAAGAATGTAAACTGTGGGGATGCTCACAGGACTGAGACGCAAATAACAAATTTTAAAAAAGACGACTAAAAAGAAACGTGCGTGGGCCAGACAGCAAGGAGCAATGGTAACTACACACAAATACACCGTGAAAGGGTGGCGGCTGCTAGCCCAGTGGTGGTGGCACACATCTTTAATCCCAGCACTTGGAAGGCAGAGGGAGGCAGATCTCTGTGAGTTCCAGGGCAGCCGAGGCTACACAGAGAAACCCTGTCTTTGAATTCATCACCTCCCCAAATGCACAGCCGGCTGAGACAATGAGGGAACCCCTCCAGTAACATGATTTCGAGTTCACGGAACACTGACCATCTCTCTGATGGGCGAACTCCAGGTAGACATGAACTTGGGTTTTCATTTTGAAGTCCTGAGAATTTTTGTTATATGGCCACTTGGATGACAAAAAAAGGGAGGTGGTGAAATAATTCTATAAAAGGAACTTCCAAGGCTGGCCAAAGGTGGATGCCTCTCGAAGATGAGAGCCCTCTGCTTTCTCTCCTGAGGCAGAGGCTCCACTGTCCAGGACTCTCACACAACCCGACCGTGGGTCCCAGATCACTGTGCGGCCCACATCTTGGCAAGGCGTTGCAGATGTGCCCATGGTCACAGGCAGTGATGGTTTTAAGTCACTGGGGCCAGCTAGTGCCTTTGCCCTATTGTTGATCATGTTCACGGGCTCACCTCCGAGGGACATCTTTTCCCACTAATGAGGAACAGGCTCCTTTGTTAACCCCTGGCTCACACAGAAATCCGCAGCACCCACAGTGTCTGCATCTTCCTTAGGTGGGCATGGAAAACAACCATCTAATCAAATGCTTATGGTAAAGAAGGTTAGCCTAGACAATTCTTTTCCTCCCAAAATACAGATCCTGTCACCAACAAATTAAAATCCAGAAGTCTAAACATCCTAATGTGTAACACATGTAGTCAGGAAGATAGGAGACTGCGGTCCCAGCCTCCCACATCCTCACATGCCTGTGGCAAGAGGACCGCAGAATTCTCCTGGCATTTCCATGTATGGCCAACTCAGAGGTCTCCAATTAACGATGCTGCGTTTTCTGCCTGTGATGAGGAATGCTGATGCTCTGAACTTCTGCAGCTTAAAGACATCAGCCCAGCACTGCACAAATCACAGGCATGCAGCATGTCCCATGTTTACTGCACAAATCACAGGCACACAGCAAATCCCATGTCCACTGCACAGATCACAGGCACACAGCAAATCCCATGTCCACTGCACAGATCACAGGCACGCAGCATTTCCCATGCCCACTGCACAGATCAAAGACAGGCAGAGAGTCCCATATCCACTGCACACAGGCACAGATGTGTAGGGAATCCTATATCCATTTACTATGGGAAAATTTCTAATTCTAGACTTTGTCCAAGGTAATCAGTCCTAAATGTTACAAAAAAATTCTCACTACTTCTCAACTACAATTAACTAACATTTACACTTGTCCAGTTAAGGAGTTAACACATATTCTTTTAATTCTCTGGAAAATTGGTACCCTAGAATTTCAATTATTTTTTTAATACTTAACTCAACATCAGTAATTTTAACTGATACAGTGCGTTGAGAGATTTGAGAAAATGGGAATCATCATTGTTAAGTTAAAAATAAAAACAATCAGGTGGTGGTGCACACCTTTAATCCCAGCACTTGGGAGGCAGAGGCAGGTGGGTCTCTGTGAGTTTGAGGCCATCCTGGTCTACAGAGCTAGTTCCAGGACAGCCAGGGCTATGTAGAGACCCTGTCACAAAAGAATAGAAATGAAAAGGAAGTGATGAGGAGGGATATGTTTAGAAAGGTGACCTCTGATTCTTGAGAGAACTCTGCAATCAGAGGATCCCCCAGGAAGATGCTTTTGTTTCTATTATCCCAATGAGTCAAGTGTCTCTCACCAGATTCAGGAGAGTGGGCAGCGGTGAGAAACGTGGGCAACACTGAAGCTGCACAAACTAAAAGTTTTCTGTCGCACAAATCACCCTACGGGGCAGGATCACAAACCACAGCTGGGTTCGACAATTATTAACAGTGCATGAGACTTAAGAGAATTGTAACTTACCCACAGCTAACTTGTATTTTTTCAAAGTCCTCTTTGCATGTTATCTAGATCACCTAAAGAGGGTGTCCTAATTGAGGAAGGACTTCTCTGTCAGACTGACTTGTGCATTTGTCATTATTGGTGATTGATGTGGGAGGGTCCAGCTCACTGTGGGTGACACCATTCCTAGGCCAGTGGACCTGGGCTGCATAAGCAAACTATTTGAGCAAGCTAGTAAGCTGCATTCCTCCATGGTTCCTGCCTAGAGTCCCTTAGTGACTACTAAGAGCCAGAAGCGCGAGATAAAATACCGTCCCCTCCCCCAGCTTGCTTGTGTCGGAGTGTTCTCTACACAGCAATGGGTGGAACTGAGGCCCTCATCATCTGTCATCTCTGGATACCAGCTGTCGTCTTGGGAGAAAATGATTTCCCATCCCCTACACTAGAGACCTGGAAGGATTTGCACGGAACGTGGCCAAGCTCCATGTCCCATCATTGTCAAACACTGACATTTCGGTATTCGAAACCTCAGGATCTTAATCTGCCAAACTGATCCTTAATGCTTCCCAGCTGGCCAGATGAGCCACCGTGGACTCCGTACTGCTCTGTGACTGGGAGGGAACATGGTGCATTAGATGTAAGGTCTGCAGGGCTCACACAAAAGTGCACGGACAGACACACCAGATGCCGCCCAGGCTTGAACATTCCCGCCACCCAGAGTGTTCCTCATGCCCCATTAGAGTCAACCCCTCAAAGTTCTCCCCACTCCAATACCAAAGCAATCTGCCCTGTGGGTTCTTGTAGCAATCACGCACACATAAGGTACCATTTATTTTTTTTCTCGTTTGACTTTTCAGGTGTGGGGAAATATACGTTCCCTATATATATGGAATCCCATATACACTAGTGTGAGGTGCAGTGTCTAGACCACTCCTCAGAGGCATCAGGACCTCCTCACAGCTTCAGAGACAGGCGTAGACTCCTCCATGTGCAGCCGAAGAAATGTTTTACCACGGTGTACTGGTTAAGTTAGTGTTGGGAAGGGTAGGGGAAGACATGTTCTACCACTGTGTACTGGTTAAGTTAGTGTTGGGTGGGGGAAGACATGCTCTACCAGTGTGTACTGGTTAAGTTAGTGTTGGGGATGGGGGGAGGACCTACTCTACCGCTGTGTACTGGTTAAGTTAGTGTTGGGGATGGGGGGAGGACCTGCTCTACCGCTGTGTACTGGTTAAGTTAGTGTTGGGGATGG